AAATTTGTGAAAGAAAACAAAGCAATACATGCTTCGAGTTATCTATTGATATTTAGACCATGATTCTTTCTGTAGGCGTTTGGATTAATTTCGATGTAGATTTCGTCATCAGTCAACACCACTTAAAGATAACTAAAAATTGGGGAACAGTGGACACGTAAATATCAGTCCCCGACTGATGTCCAGTAGGTGCACTTCTGCGAAGTCGTGACAGAAGCTACTATCCATGGTTGTTGAAATGTGGCCCAAGTGACTGGACAGTGAGAGGAATCAGCCTGGTAACGTAAATGTCACGTGTTCGAGTCCTGGAGTGGTCGCGTTTTTTACAGTGGTGATGAGTTCCAAACAACGACGGAACAGCTGCTCAGTGTGTTGCTTGGTTTTCAATAATTTTCTAACTGGCTGGTCTGTGACGAAGTCTACATTGAAATATGTCGGTATGGCATATTTTATTTACTAATGATGAGTGGATCTTCCACTTGATGGTGACATATATTCAGTATAGTTCCTCAGCTAATGACTATGTCTGATGATTACAACCAGTCTGAAACCAACTAGTCAGCCAGCTCGTAGGAAGCTTTCCACAAAATGTATGGATAATTTAACATTTCCAATTGACAGAATCAGTAACACAACAGCTAACGTTTTCGAATACACAAAGTGTCTTTCTGTAAAATGAAATCACTGAATTTTAGTGTCCTACCCTTTTGATTTTTGAGGTATCATTCAGCTAGTCACTTTATTAGTAGAAATAATTTATTCCAACGTCCATTCCAATTACTTTTCAGATGACTTGTTAGCAATGAGTGAAGAGTATTTACATGAGGATCTGGAGAAGCTGAATGATATCTGTAATGCAGTGGGATATGAAATTAACCTTCAAAACGAGGTGTGTAGAAAGTGTGTAACCCTAAAATATGATAGAAATAATGAAATAACATATTTACTAGAAGTTGATATTGGCCCACTGAGTTCCAAAGGGCTTCAGCAGTAGATTTCCATTTTAATTTACTCTATGCGGCATATTTGAGCTGTCCATATGATTGTTTACAAGTTTCTATTTCTTCCATGCACTATTTGTTCTATTTCCCAGTACTATTCAGATTTCACGCTGTAGTGTACCCACTGCACAAGAACCTTCGATGATGAGGTCACACTATGACAGTCACATCCTCATTATTCTCTAGAATGTGATCTGCGTAACTGGAGTAGATTACTATAGAGTTCACTTTTTAATACTTTTATGTTACATCTCATTCTTTTAGCATTCTGAGCAGCTTTGCAAGCAAGCCCGAGACATTCCACAGACATTTCATAGCGTTATGCCTACGTTCGCTTTCACTGAAAGAATCCATATAGGTCGAAGACTTTCGCCAACCGGCATCATTAGGTCTCTCTGATTACACTGAATAATAAAATCATGCTTTATATTTTCCTATGTACTTTGATAGCGACCTAGCAATCGAATTGCATTTCTGGCGTAGGATACTCAACCTTCCCTGTGTTTCTGGACTTTGAACGGGCTAGTAAATAAACCGTGGTTACTCAGTAATTTACATGGATTGTGATAAGGATGTGAACGAATAGTTCCACAATGATGGAATGCCAACTAAAAGTTTGACATCTACTAGTGAATACTGTTGGTTAACACTAATCATTCGGATATTATCAATCATTACAGCACAAAAGCTTCAATTCACATAATTTTATTTTGTCCATAATAGTTTGTATGTTAGATGTATCACATTGTGAAACAGTATTATTTACTGGATGACACAGTTTCGAACAAAATTTATTGTTCATTATCATATCAATCAAAATCACACGACTTCGAAACTTGAGTTTTATAGTTTTCCTTGTCCTCTCCTATTTGTCGTAGGGGAAGTAGAATTTTCCAGATATCCAACTGGACAAGTGTTGAATCATTACTATTACACGCATTTCCAGTTGATTCGATAAACAAAGCTTCCGTAATCAGTCTCTCCCTCCAGCGTGTTACATTAGATTTGAAAACTGTCATCTTATCCCACCTATCCTATTGTATGGTAGTGTGTAATCGCATGTAGTGGGTGCTATAGCCAGCTGAACTATTCTCTAGATTTCTTATCTTATTTGGATCAATTAATCTAGATTTTGCCGCTAGGTTTTTATGCTCAGCTACTACTATTTTCACCTATATTATTGGATAAACTAAATTGTTTTGTTTTAAAGGCTCAACAGGCAGGATCCTTTAACCGACAAAGATTTTTTCCAATTGAGTTTATGGTCGGTTTGATTGCCAACAGTTTAATTTCAATTTTTAATTTAATTTTAATTAATTCAATTAAAATTACACCACTACATGCAATTACACACTACCATACAATAGGATGGATAGGATAAGATGGCACTTTAAAAATCATATGTCACAGGGTGGAGGGAGCAGTATTGATTGTCAATGGAATCAACTGCAAACACGTGCAATAAAAATGATACAACACATGTCCATCCAGGTATCTAGAAAATTCTACCATCCCGACGACGACAAATAGGAGAGAACAAGGAAAACTATAAAACTCAAGTTTCGAAGTTGTGTGATTTTGATTGATATGATAATGAACAATAAATTTTGTTTGAAACTGTGTCATCCAGTAAATAATACTGCTTTACTTTATGATACATCTAATAAAAAAGCTGACACAGATAGTACTCGATAGCTGTCTCATCTTAGTTTACGACTGTTAAGCAGTACGCATCCATAAGCACACTGGGTGTCGAACTCAGGATGAAACAACTGTCTGGTACTCTCTGGTTTCCAGTCGTTCTCTATTTGAAGTCAGTTCCTGACCACTCTCGAAATCCATCACATTTTTGCAAAGAAACATTTGAGAATAGCAAAAAGTGATCAAAAAACAAATTAGTTCCGAATATTCCATAAACCATCAACATTTTTCAGAACAGTCAGGCCTAATCATATGTTATCTAAGAGATTATAGCTTAGTATGTTTAGAACAAACCTCGCCTAGTTAACTAGCTTGATAGAGTTGTAGTTGGATGTAGGGCTAGCAACTACACACCACCTAACCTTTCAAACCGCCAGAAAAACTTCAGCACGCAAACATTACATTAAAAGTACAAAATCTTCAAATAAAAATCTTATTCAAGTTTTGGTTTGTAGGGATTCGATTGGTTTCAGGATTTCATCATGAATACCAATGAGATGCTCACTGGCGACTGGCCCTATTCAGGTAGGTAGTTACCTGGGTTCCAGTGGGAAGTCGTGACCAGTAGGGTGCAGCTGGTCGGGTGTGAGGACAAATACTCGCCGAAGACATTGGCTAGCTGTCGCGCTGTGTCGTGAATTGGCAGAAGTTAGAATTCAAGGACCATTGGATCGGGTCCCAGTGGCTTAATGGTATACGAGCTCGCCTTGTAACCAGAAGGTACTGGGTTCGAATCCCGGTGGGTGCGTACTGATGAAGAGTCCCGAACTAGAACGAAACAGCTGTTCAGTACTCCCAGGTTTCCCAATGGTTCTCTAATAAATGTCAGCTCATGATGAAATCCTAAAACAATAAGGGATTCAAATTATCACCACTCTACTCTCAGTGGGTATTGAATGGTTTTAAAGATCTCTCATACACGCCGGGAAAACCACTTTCAGCTAGCGAATGCAGACTTTTACTGGCAGACAGATTTCCAACTTCGACACTGAATATCTGATGGCTGATCACATGGGGAACAACAACAAGGTACTCTGATAGACAACGGAACAACCAACATTTCGTCACACAACAGATATGCAAATAGCAATGAACAGATGGAAGATACGCTCAGGAGACTGTTCAGTAAAATCAATTACCAACAAAGGAATGTCTCAAGTGGAACATGAATGAGAATTGAGCGACAAGTTAGGCATGTCTCTGAATGTGATACGGTGAAGATGGTGTGTGTTGGAGGGGATAAGAGTTGCTGAGTGATCGTGGGTGCAGCTGAACAGAATGACCACAGGAACCAAGGTGAATGGAGATGTATCCTGGTTACAGCTATATATTCAAAAAAATACATACGGATTGATATCAGCTGGTGAACCACTGAAAACCACCGATTACTGGACAGCTGTTTCATACTGGTTTTGGGAACCGAACACACAAGTTCGAACCCTGGACCTTCTAGTCACAAGATAAGCTCGTATACCATTCAGCTCCTGGGACTCGATTTAATGGCCAGCCCATGAATTCTCACTCATACTAATTCGTGAATTAGCGTGACCACCAAACAATGTCATCGGTGGGAAATCCATCCCCACACTTGAGTGGCTGGATCTCACTGGTCACGAATTCTCACTACAAATCCTGGAATCTTCGTCCTGTAGCCAGTAGTCACTAGCGAGCATCAGATTAATTTTCGATAGTTAGTTTGTAAGGATTCGATATGTTTTCACGGGTGCGTACTGCTGATGTTTCCAGAATCTCGGATGAAACAGCTGTCCAGTACGCCTTGGTTTCTATTGGTTCTCTAAATGATATCAATCCATGGTCAAACTCTTAAAAACAAGTCTAATCCACACAAACAAACTTTTGAAAAACACACACTTCAAAGGCGACTTGACTCCACAGACAGTTGAATACCATCGGCTGAAGTTCATCCAGTGCACATAACATATAACGTTGGTTAGTGTCTGCTCTTCGATCGCTCAAATCGAAAAAGGAACGAAGTTCTTTCATTTAGTTGAATACAGCATTTGGCTGACCATAGTTCAACACTAACATAACATCAAACACAACACATCAATTACCGCTAAATCTAAACGAAACCCAATCACATGGAAGCAGACACATTTTGTAAATAAACCGCATTATAAACACACAAGTCTGGTATTATTTAAATCATTCCACAGAATACTGACTCACATTTCTAAGCATACACAGTGAACGTTTGTTCACAGAATCAAGTAGACTGTCAGTCTCAATTTATACTCTCCCTTACAGTTTGTTCAACAATTTCGTTAATCGGAGTAAATGAGAAGGCATTGGAAACATGGAACCTTCGTCAATAAAGATGACTCACAACAAACATCAGATTATGATCCCTTCCAACTGATACGAATTTTGACCAGGAAAATAACGCCATCGCGGATATTATTTATATTGAATGTGAGTACTGTTTGTGTGTATATATTCATTGACTATCTTAACTGCTTCATATTCTTACTGTTATCAGCATTATGAATTCCTCGAGTTACAACGAGAAACGGTTTCATTAGCACATCTCAGTTTCCACAATTTTCACGTGATAATTTTCGACTGCTTTCACGATTACCGACAGTAAGTCTCTACCTAGCACAACCTTTGTTGTTGACTACAGCTGTCATTATTAGTGCGGTTTTACTACTCTTAGTTTCAGTGGAACAGGAAGCTTCAGTGCAACACTCTATTTCATCGTGTTCTATAGAGAATACTTTTTAGTTGTCTCTACATCTGTCCATAGGCTGTCCTCCATGTCTGCACTGGACACTCACCAACTGCATCAATAAATTGATTTTTCACTCATGGTCCAGTTGGTGTGTGACGCCACTGTGTGATCTACTCAGAATGTACACATTCTAAGAATTTTCGTTATACCCTACAGAGTTGTTAGAAAGTAGGTTCTCGATTGGTTGCATGTTTACCAGAGATCCCTGTTACTCATCCTTTCTGGTCGACCATCTGATCTCCAATAGAGAGGCAGAAAAGGTAGAGGTCGGTGAAAGTCCTTAACTGTCTGTTGAAAATGCTTTTCTCGACCTGTGTACCAAGCACTAACTGACTTGATATTACCGTCAAAAATCTGAATATTGTCCTTTATTCGGTATGCCCTACATCTTCACACTCATTTCAGATTATTGACTAGTTAGATTGTGATCATAACTGATGTCATTGTTGTAGAAGACACTAAACAATTCACTACAACTCTACATCTGGTGAACCCTCCAAGTACCTTATATATATACTGCAGAGAATGCATATTGAACTTACGTGTATGTGCTAAGCAAAAATATGCACGATTGAATTTCGGGTAATGCAGTCGATGTTAAGAATTCCTAGGAATTTAGCTTCCATCTGTAACCAAAAAATATTGGGGTAAGATGCTTTATGACATTTCACTGTGACTGGCTGCTGAATAACTCAGCTTTCAACATAGAACTGGTATGCACGAAAATGTAGAAATTCATGTTGCTACACTATATATAGCACACGAAGGTAGGGAAAAGCGAAATTTCAAACGATCTATAAAGAGTTGAAATGAATGCGAAAGAGAATAACTGCACGGAGAACAATGAGAAATTGACGAATCTAAGCGTTAATCAAGCGGGAATGCATCTATGCCGATGAGAAAGATCTTGAGCCATATCACACCAACAGTCACAAGCTCTGTTTTCCTAGAGTATAAAAGACCACCTCTTGCCAGTCAGACAGCTTTCATATCCACCAATATTTTTCCAACTTAATCGCATATTAGCTGACACCATTCTCGGAGGAAAGCGATGAGTCTGTATGCATATTCATTGTAGATGGACTGAAATGAATGATCTCCTCGCTAGGTTTTGGATTCATATGTGCGGTTTTAGCTTTCTAACTATCCACATTCGGTCATGTCCGAATCTTGTTTCAGACAGAACCATGATGTGTCATATGAGATATACAGTCGATGAATGTTTTTACATGAGTACTGATGACGCATTGATGAGGAATCATAAGTGATTACCAGGAAAAATGATACCAAGGACTCTTCACAGTGTGTGTGTGTGTAAATATTGATTCCCAAGATGAAGCCTATATTACTGTTATTGTTTTTATTTTATTTCTGTCAGGTGTTCGCAACTGTTGTTTTCCAGCTGGCGATAGCATTCGGTCTGACAGCGTTGGTTACACAAGTGTACGTTGTGTGTATATTAGTGAAGAACTTCGCCTAAAAATAATTATCTATTTAGATCTGCGGTATCTCATTTGGCGCTATTGCACCACATAATCTTCTATGTGATCAGGTAAGTTGAACTTTAGTTAATTTCATTTGCATCTTGTGATGTGATATACATCGGTGATTCAATAATTGAATGTTTGTTGTGCAATTAATAGTATTCTCTCAGCTGGTTGGTTTAGTTGCGGAGTTTTCACCGTCTTTCTGGACGACATCTTCAGCGCAGCATTTTGGATAAAGTGAAGTGATTTAAATTTCTTCATGAGTGATACAATTGCGTCTCCCAGTAACCATCTTTAGATATTTATTGACCGTTTTCTATCCATCTGGATTTTAAACTTTCTGGTCACCTGATTTACTTTTTATTAGTTGGTATATTTCTTCTATTTCAACTACAGGCGGAACTGACGAGGACATCAAAGCCAGAATCGGAAAAGCAAGACAGGCTTTCATTACCCTTAAGTCTGTGTGGAGGTCAACATCACTCATCATCAAAAATAACATCCGGATTTTCAACTCCAATGTGAAGTCAGTGCTACTAAACGGATTAGAGACTTGGCCAGCACGTCATAAAGAGCACCTCAAACAAACTTCAGACCTTCATTAACAGTTGTCTTTGATCAATACTCAAGATCAGATGGCCGGCCAGAAAAGAACAGCAACAGGGAGGGATCTCTGGCAATGAGCGAACCAACCCAGCAGGAACCGATTGTGAAACAAATAGGCAGGAAGAAATGGAGATGGATTGGCCATACGCTGAGGAAACAAACCATCAAGTGACATCACTAGACAAGCCATGGCTCGAGTGGAACCCGACCGAAAGGGAAGCGGGCGGAGAGTTGGTCATCAGTGTGAGGGTGACTTGGAGGAGATCATGTGAAGAGAAGATGAAAGCATGGGAGTAGACTTTGAGCTGGGTGAAAAACTTGGCAGAAAACCGAAGGCAGTGGAGACGCGCAGATGAAGCCCTATTTTCCTCTAGGAATTAAAGGACATAATAATAATATTTCGTCTATATTAACGTGTTTATTAATTGCATTCTCGTTTGAGTGCCAGGCTTCTAGGAGTTCCCTGGTACATTTGGTGTTTCCTCTGTCTAAGATTTTGACATTATCCCAATCAAATTGATGTCCATAATTGGCTGTATGCATTGATACTAAAGAATTTATATCATGTCTTTTCACGGCTGATTAGTGTTCTTGGATTCTTATTCGAAGGGGACGCCCACTTTGGCCGATGTAATGCTTGTTACAGTTCATGCATGCAATTTATTTTGTAAATGGTGTTAATTTTATCCCTTTTTCTGTTGAATCTTTTGGTTTGCATAAGATCGAATTAAACAATTAAACTGGTTTGTGTGCTACATCTATATCAAACGGTTTCATTATTGTAGCCGTTATTTCAAAGATATTTCTGATGTATGGTAGGATGAATTTCTTTTTGGTCTTTGGTGATGGTTCTTTGTTGATGTTTTGATTCGACTTTAAACACTTTTTGATGAAATTTTTTGGATAACCATTCTTCTTCAAGACCGTTTGTAAGTATTTTTCTTTCATTCTTTTCAACTCTGGAGTGCTGTGGTGTGTTTGAACTCTTCTAAACAATGTCTGCACACAGTTTCGTTTGCGAGTAATTGGATTATTGCTAGTATATTTAAGTATTTGATCTGTGCAAGTGCGTTGATGTTCTATATACTTGTGTTTCTAAATTTTCTGTGTTGGTTCTCCTGATGAAGACATCTAAAACTGGGATTTTGTTATCTAATTCTTCTGCTCTTGTGGTGAATTTGATGTCTTCAAATATTAAAACAATTAGTCCCTTTGATAAATTTGAACAAGGCATTAAGAAGACAAATTTCGCCACGAGGTGATATCGTCATTTTGTAGTTTCTTTACAACCGCTTTACAACTACTAACATGGTTAACAATGATAAAATAAAGTTCATGAAAACTACTCAGTTAAATAAACAACACAAAAGTACATACTAATGACCAATCATATTAAGATAGGTCATGCAGTCCAGGGTAGGCGAAGATTGAAGTCTATTGATTTTTGTATACACAGTTTAGGCTGTATGTGATTAATCCAGCCTAAACTGTGTGTAAAAAAATCAATAGACTTCAATCTTCGCCTACCCTGGACTGCATGACCTATCTTAATATGATTGGTCATTAGTATGTACTTTTGTGTTGTTTATTTAACTGAGTAATTTTCATGAACTTAATTTTATCATTGTTAACCATGTTAGTAGTTGTAAAGCGGTTGTAAAGAAACTACGAAATGACGATATCAACTCGTGGCGAAATTTGTCTTCTTAATGCCTTGTTCAAGTCTTCAAATATGTTGTTTATTAATTTATGGGCATATTCTAAATCATTTCTCTTAATTATTACAAAAGTATCATCAACGTAACGTACCCAGATTTCAGGTTTAATTATAGGTAGAGCTATTAATTCTAATCTTTGCATAACGGCTGCAGCTATTAATTCTTATATGGGCGATCCAATTGGTGTTCCTTTTTATTTGTTCATTCATATATTTGAGTATTGAATTGGAAGTATGTTGTAAGGCATAATTTTATGAGTTCTATCCAAGTTGAACATTGTGTTTTTATGTTTTCATCACTATAGAGTAATTGCTTCTTTTGCTAGTTTTGGACTTATTGAAGTATATAATGCTGTGACATCAAAGGACACCATTATTTCATTGTCTTCTACCTGAATATTTTTGATTTTCTTTAAAAATTGGATTGACGAATTGATAGAATGGTCGCATGATTCTGTTAGGTACTTTAACTTCCTGAAAATTTCTTTAGGTAGATTATATGTTGGTGTTCCTGGAAGCGAAACGATTGTGTGTTAGCCAACTAAGCCCATTCCGGATTCGATTCCCAGCTACTGACGGATTCCTGTGGACCTTGCACAGTTAATCGGAAGCCACAATATAACATTCTTAGAAAGGAGAGGAGGCTAAGTTTACTCGAGGCTAGCATCCATACCCCGCAGAAAAATGATATCTTAATAGCCACTGAAACCCTAAAGCTGTGTTCCACATAAAGAGATGGGAGGAATGTGAAGGAACCAGAATATCTGATCAACGTGTTAGAAACCACGGGATGAAATATAAGTTGGGGTAGACAGCCTATAACAACTCAAAGATCCTCAAAGATTCAAGTGTAACCACGTGAAAATGCACG